ACAAAACACCTAAGAACATAACTTCTGCTATCAAATATGCCCCTAGGAATGTCACCCAGGGGAAATGGAAGCAATAATTTTTTGAAAATTACAATCCTCTAATCATCACAAAGAACTGATGACTCCTTTGGTGTTCAAATACATCCTGCAGACAACAGAACCTGCTGATGATTTAGTGAGCAGATTCCCTGCTTTTGTTAAAGCATCTGTTTGAGCAGCTCCCACAAGGGAATAAACGTCCAGCTTTGCAGCTCAGCGGAACATAAAATTGTTATTTAGAAACCAGTGTAGCATGTACCTGTGGCCTACAATATGAGATTAAAAAGTACTTAGCACAGCAGTTGCTGAAAACATTCACCAAATTGCCTTTATACCATTCTTGCACATATTTTTATCCAAACGTTTGCACTGCCAAGGCAAAAGAACCAGCAAAGTGGGACTACTCCTATTGAAGAGCTCTGCACAGCTACCAAGTGGAGTCTGTGTTCTAGGAGCTCCCCATGTCCAGACTTTGCTTTGCTCACAGGTAACAAACATTGTGTGAGCAGCTGGAATTTAGCCAACACTTCTTTCTGCAGGGTGGATGTAAAACACAACTCAAGATTATCAGATTATTTAAGATTCTATTCCAGATTTACAAAGATTTGAGGTTGGAAGGCACCCGTGGAGATCACTGAGCCAATCCCCACAGGGCTGCCCAGGGCTGTGTCCTGCCAAATCCAAGCATGGAGTGTCAGCAGCCTCTGGGCAAACTGCTGGAGAGCTTCATCTCCTTCACAGTGGGGAAAAAAGGGGTTTTTATTATTTTCCCTGCATTTCAGTTTGTGCCCATCATGAGGACATTAGAAAGAAAATCTCTTTTAAAAAATTAGGACAATTGATACAGAAACCAGCGAGATAGAAAATTGGACCATCACAGAACTTTAGAATTCTTTTTCCCAACTTTTTAAAGCTTTTAGCTTCTTACATATTTGAAATCATACAATCTATATAAAGATTTATATTGAAAGATTCAACTATATGGTCCAAAGAATTGTGATTCTTGTTGCCAAAGATCCCTCCTGGTTTTATATATATTTACAAGGAGCTCTGTGTTTGTGATAATTTTTCATAATGATAAAAATGTGATTAAAACACAACTGTACTTGTTATAACCAGCTCTGTTTATCCATAATGAACCAATCATAAGTGCAAATAAATGCCTTCACCAGCTAGCAGATGTAGCAATCTAATTCAGCAGTGCTAATTCTTGATTTAGGTTCTGCTCCACATGGACTGAAAATTTATCTTTTGATCTCAATTTTATTACTGCAAAGAATTTGTTATTCAGCATGTAAACAGATAAATTAGCAGAGTCAGAATCTATTTTTTATATTAAGACAAGAAAGTGGACTATATGGGAAACTCTGACCAATCCTGTGACTGAGCTAACACAGTATCAAAACTGAAAAAGATACAAACTGAGATTACAAGTGGTAGACACTGACAAAAGGAAAAATACATCAATGACAGTTCACAGCACAAGGATTCAGAACAAGAGACACTTCCACGAGTCACCACAAGCATTTGATACCATGATGGGAAGAAATGTAGCAAACTCATCACATTATTGTAGTGCAAACTGTTAGCTGAGTTTCAAAAGAAAAGCAATTCCTTCCTCTGTAAGAGTGCCAGGCTATTTCACACAGATCAATGTAAATGTTCTTCCTTGTCAGATCTGTGCCTGATTGTATGGAACCACTGCACTTGAAAGGGAAGAATTCCCAAAGAAACAAACAACAAAAATTTTAGGCAATATTCATTAACACTGGATTCAGTCTTAGAGATATTAATCTTATGTTCTGCTCACCATAATCATATTTTAAGACCACAATCAGGTCTTAAAAGTGATTAACTAAAACTGACCCTCTAATTTCTATCATAGGATGCCTAATCAGACATAACTTTAATGGGATTTTTCATTTGCACACTGAAGCCTGGTCACGTAATTCTGCAGTGAGAAGAAACTCTACAATACCAAATAATTATTTTTTTATTTTACATTTCATTGCTTCCTAACAGACAGATCTAATGCTCTAGAGATTTTTTTTTATGCATATCAAGGCTGTATTTTTTTCCCCAGACTGAGGTAACACTACTGTCTACAGCACAGTCCTGGGACTAATACCTCAGTGTTCTGTAATTACTGCTTCACTGATAAAGATACAACTAACAGTACATACATGTGTGCTACAGAGGAAAAATTAAATGTATCAGAATTTCTGTACGTATTTACAGTGTTTTACAGTAAAATATTATTAAACCTAAGAGAACAGAATAAGTGCAAGTACAGTACAAAGGTTACAACTGATTAAAGTCATAAACAATTCACAGACTACAAGGTATTTCAGGTCTCCTGTTGATGACGCTCCAAATCCATTACAGAAGGATAATACTGGAGAAGTTGGCAATCTGAAGTGGAACTGAAATGCATTTTCTTTTAGATGTTTTTTAAACCCCCAGAAGTGCCCCAGACTGAGATCATGAGTCTCAGATAATAAAGGCCACAGAGAGTTCAAATAGCCTAGAAATGATGGCACTTTCAGACACTGATAGAAGGAGCGCATTTTAGAAAGGTTCTTTTTATTAATTTAATGCTGCTGCTGTAGCTGCAGAAGAGTCTGATATCTCAGTAGTAAAATGCATTAAAAAGCCATTTTGTCTGCTGCTGTAGATGAGGAATGTAGTTATTTTGCTCAACAGCTGAGTTTTTCCAGAATCCCACTAGTATTCTCAGAGAAAACTATCTACTCTAGCCAAGAGAGAATGCTGATACACTTGTTATATAAGAAAAAGTTCTCAGGAAATAATTCACAGATACATGTAGGAACAGAATCTCTGCCATAATGTCCAGACACCACAGAACATTCCAGTCCACTGTCTCATGCAATGTGTTAAGAATTATAAAATTGCCAAATTAGAAAAAAACCTCTAAAAATAAAGAGGTATTTTGCCACCTGTGGAACACCCACACCAGGGTTAGCAGGAGTGCAGTGCATCACAGAGGTGTTTAGGAATGGGTGATAAATGGTGTTGGCCAATTTCTTACAGCAAATCTCTCTCTTTAGAGATAACTGCATTATTTTGTATCACAATGCTTTACCAACTAAATTGTACCCCTAGAATAATGGAACTTAAATGTGCTCTCAATAAAAAACTTTGCTCTGTCTGTGAAATTGATTTAATCTCTCCCTACATTAAATTTATTAGAAGAAATAGAGTTGGAGGGTTTTATAACAGGGAAATAGTGTTCACTCAGACTTATGCAGCAGTGGCAGAACCCATTACATGGATTGTGATTTTAATCTTGTCCCGTGCAGATCCCCATACCTGGCACTTCTTTTAATAAACAGAAACACGAGATTGAAATTCTACTTACACACTTAGAAAATAGATAAGACTAAATATCAGAAAGCAATTGTTCAGGGCTAAGGAGTAAGAGGAAACTCTTTTTCCTTTCCTGTTTTAGACATAAGTGGCCAGGAGATTATACTATTTTTGAAATGTCATTTCTCAGAACCAAAAAAATAGTGTAATAAATTACTTCTGTAACAATAGTGTATTAAGATTTTTTAAAAAACACAGAAGGAATATAATGGCATTTACATTTTACAACTGCAAATGTATTTGGTATTTGCCTCCCTCGTCTCTCAAAAACAAAACTAAGTACAACATAAAAGATAACTTCTTTAAAACTGCTCAACAAAAAGCTACACATGGGCACCTCAACTCGAACTTTAAACTATTTCCATCTCTCCAGCTCTTAGTCAAATTCCAGACAATAAGTTCTTAGGGAGCAAAAGGCAAGTCTCTTAAGAAGTTTTCCCCACAAACATCACTTCACCATTTATAACACCATCAGCAAGATGTCTCATCAAATTGATTTCAAATCCACAGAAAAATTGGAAACTCATGAATGCCACAAGATGTATCTTGGCATTCTTCCACTCATCTATTACATTTTCTAATAAATAGAGCTTTCTTGAAATCCAATTTCAACTTGAAAATCTGACACACACTGCAAAAGACCAGGCAATAATACAACTAAATATGTGTGCTGTGATGAAACACATTCATTTGAAATTGGTCTTGAAGCTGCAAATGAATCCACCCATGGGTTCACAGGCATGGATGCACAATCCCTGTGCAGAGGCTCGTGGACAGCAAATTCCACATGAGGACTTACTGTAAATGAGTGTTCAACCTATCCAAAATTTGTACAGGTGTAGGACTGAAAAACCATTACACTGAAAAATTACTAGTGAAAGAACACGACTTTCAAAAACAATTTTTCATTAGTATTTTTTCCTAAATAGTTTTAAATATTTACAAATACATGAAGAAAGAAGTTTAAAGGGAAAAGGGACAGTTTTGTCAGATTATACCCCTTGTGTGATGGTGTATCAAAGGGTTTGAGATTCTTAACAGACAACTGTTATTTCTGGACATATTCAACTTTAACATTAATGAAATCAAAACAAGCATCAGCAGACTGCAAAATTCAGCTAAAAAGAGCTCAACAGCTTGATTTTTTTATTTGGTTAGTAAGGACCCTAATAGTGCTCTAACCCCATCCCCCAAAACAAGATTAAAAAATAAGAGAAACCCCACAGTAGCAAAAAAACAAAACAAAACTAAGGAAGACCAAATAAAATAAATTGAAAATACCTAATGTTTAAAGAGCATGTATGCAGATCTGTATGCAGATTTTAAAGTCACTTAGATATTTCTGAAATATTTACACTGTGATTTTCATTCAAAATCCCCATTTAAATTTAAAAAAATACTCTATTTGTCATATATTTCTTTAAATATAACAAAAGCACCTGCAATCTGAACAGGAGGCTTCTATTTTAAAAAAAGCTCTGCTTTAAAGATTTTGGAGATGCTGGCATTATATTTTAAATTAATCTGTGATGAAAAAACCTTAATATTTTCTTAAGTACTTGATAGATACTTACAGAAAAAAGGGCATCAGCTGAATAAGTGTCTCTTTTTTGGGATTGGCTGTGAATTCTGGCACAGTTTGAATAATTTTGTTCATTACATTCCTTAGGTAATTTTGTAGCTGCTTGCGTCGCTCTTCCACAAACTTTGCATCCTAAAAATAGAGAGGAAAAAATATAAATGTTTTTTTTACACAAAGAACATGTTTCTCAACTTCATCATGTAACTAAACAGTCCTGGTAAGCATCAAAATCGATCTTTTGATGATCTCTGTTATTATGGCTATAGAAATATGTTGGCAATACGCAAAAACCCCTTGACTCTGTCCTTAGAGATAAAGGAAAATCATGAATCCTAATAAGACCACAAAAACATCCACTGACAGGATGTCAGATCCTCTCCCTGGCAGAATCTGTCTTCTCTGGACCATAAACCACTGCAATCTTAGAGAGGCAGAGCAGAACAGCAGCACAGAGGCTATGGCATTACAATTTACGCAATTTTTTTGAGATCCAGAATTACCAGTCTTTGCAGGAGGAAATGCTGACTTACTTCTACAATGTCTCCCCAGTTCATACTTTTCAGATGATGGGTACACAAACTCCAGAATGGACAAGTATTTGTCCAGCACTTTTATGCTATTAAATAATTATTTTTGTGATGATGTCTTCATATAGTAGATTTTTTTCAATATTACATCACAACTCTCATTAAAATGTTTTCCTGCTGTTTCTGTAGCATTTTAGAGCCAGGATTTTATACTGTGTTGGCCCAAATAAATAGACTAGTTCTATAAACTCCACATTCTGCTGATGGACCTAGAAGTTAAAAGTTTATCACAACCAGCAAGATGCCAGGCATCCCATAACTTCCATGTCGTTTAAACCTTTTCCCTGTAAGGGTTGACAATTACATGGACTATAATCTAAAGGTGACACATTTCCCAGGAACAGGGAGCTCTGACAGGTTTACAGTGACATCAGGTGCTGGATGCTTTATGCTCAGCCAGAGTGTTCTGTCTCGGGCGGGCTGGCACAGCTCACCTGGTTTAAATGTCACAGTATGTTCTTTAGGCACAAAGCCAAACCTATTATTAGACAGATACAGCTCTCAAAAACAACCAATATCTAAGAGATGTGTCTATCCAACCTGTATTATTTATGTCTGTAGGAAAAGGCATGGAAATTAATTCTTGTTTCTTGGGGGGGGAAAAAAAAACAACCCGCCAACAAAACACCATAAATACATTTGACAACACTGAATAAATTCATTGTATGGAAAAGGTTCAGCCCATGCTGCCATGCAGGGGATGCAAATCTGAAGGTTATTGCTTCCCTAGATAGAACAGAACAACACCATCAAAGCAGGGATCCTCCTTCGAGTTCAGGAGGAATTTGCTGTAGCATTCCTAGAACATTCACTGACATTTTGTTCTGTTCTTCCCTCCCATTAGAAGTTACCAGGAACAAGCATATTTTTAGGAATAACAAATCAGACATAATTGTAGGGACATAATAGAGTAAGATGTAAGAAATTGCTGAAGACATCCATACTTACAGACTTCATAAACTTAAGCAGTACTTACGTTGTTTAATTAAATTTGCGAAATTCCAAAATATGTACAGATTCATTTTATTTTTGCTTTCTACACAGATGTCCAGTTCTGTTTTAACTTTCCAGTTCTACATTAATACATTTCATTCGATCCAGTAATGTTATGAAAAATTGATTAATGTATTCATTAATCAAATAAATTAATTCAATGGAGAGCTAAGTGAAAATAAAAAAGCCCCTATATATTATATACTTCGCTATTTCATTTTTACCAGTCACATATTTTTTTCAGCAGCATACACACCAGTTGTGTTGCAAGTGATTTGAAACTCCTCCACAAAGCTGTGGTTTTGGAACTCCCCCCAAGCCCCTGTGCAGGGTCACCTGCCCAGTTCCCAGAGCTGGGACACAGCAGAGCAGAGCTTGTTCCCTGCCCTGCTGCAGGAGGACAAATGAGTGGAACTGAAGCCTATACAAGCTGCTGGGAACATTAAAGCAAACATTTTAATTCATGACGACACACAATATTACCATAAAATGGAACTATAATAATAAATAAATGTGCTCTTCAATGCTAATTAAACAATTAGCATTGAATAGCACTTATGTTACTTTTTTCTTCTTTTCACTAAGATTTTTGTTCCCACTGGATTCTTTGGTGAGGCTCAAGGAGCAGCCTTGTGCTCCCCTCTCTCCTCTCTGAGGATTTAAAGCAGCACATCACTCCACTGGAGGGACATTTCTCTGCTGCGTGGGGATGAAGACAAGACAGGGACTCAAGGGAGATGTCTGGAGAAAAGAAAAAGTTTGTGGAAGAGCTTTGTTTCTGGAAGCTTTAACCACATGAACAGAGGGGATGTTTGGCACCTGAGCCCCTTTCAGCTGGAGTCCTCCTGCCCCAGGTGCTGCCAGCTGTGCCACGGGGGAGGACAATCCTGCTTTGCTCCATCAGCCACTCCCAGGGCAGGGGCAGCTCAGAGCCCTCCCAAGAGCTGCCTCACCCTCACTGCACTTGTTCGCTCCACTTCCATTGCTTCTGTCAGTTGTGTTTTCACAAGAAAACCTGCATTGTTAAATACCACATTCAGCAACTTTTTCAGTTCTGAAGTTTTTTTGGCCACAAATCTTCAACAACAGTATTTTCAATTCTAAAATAATTTCAATTGTGTTTAAGTTTTCTCTTAAGCAGAAACTGCATTCCTTTAGTATGACTTCTGTACTGCAAATGTATTTAACTAAAAACATCTTCTTTCACAGGAAGGATTTCTATATCCTGTTATAGACACAGGAGCCAAACGCTGAATGTAGGTACTTTCTCTTATATTACTCTAAATAGTCTCCTTGACTACAGGAAATAATGGCACAAAGGACTTTTCTAATTAAGACTGCCAGAACATACTTAGGGAAGGCAATTTTTGCTGTTTACAGCTGAACAAATTAGTGCTTATAATATGGCTATTTTTCTGCCATTTGTCCAAGAAAAAGGCAGAACATCCCAGAAATAAAAAACCCAGCCTGAAAACAGTTAAAAATGTTATTTTACTCTGACATGAATTTGATCTGTAAAACAAACACCAAGCAATCTACCATGAAATTCTGTACCATGTACTAAGGCTCGTTGTCCTCACCAGAAGCAATGTAAACCAAGGTCAAAATGATTCAGCTCCAGGTCTGCACTTTATCATGAAACGTGCATTTTGCAACAGCAGGTTGGCTACTCAGAGCAATGATTTTAGCACAGAGTTGTTACTGCCAAGCTGTTGCTGTAATAAAGAGTTTTTGTCACAATATAGTAAACAGAACAACTGGTAACAGAAAAACACAACTGGCTCAAAGCCTGGCCAATTTTTTCAGTCTTAAATTATAAAAAGGTACCTATAACCTTCTTTTCATTGGGCCCAATTATCCACAGCAGAAATCTAGGCAGTACTTTACATTCCAACTCATAAACAAAAACCTACTTTTATTTACAAGCAAAAAATACAGGGAAATTTTTTGCTGTGGGTTTGTATCAGTGACACCCACATCCTACTTTTAGTACATGTCTTTGGTGATTGTATGAGTTGATACAAGCCTACATTTGTATATGTACTCACACAGAAAACAGCAAAGATCTTCCCCTAAGGTTCAATATACACCTTTACATACACTTGATGTGAATGTACTTTGAGGACAAAGTAATGTTGTTAAAATTACCAATATATTTGCAAGAAACCTTTGCATTTTCACATTATTTAAGGTTAGATTTCATAGTTTCATTTTTAGGGAAACAAATACATACACAGAAAGATAAAGTAACAGTACTTAAATAAAGACCCACTTTTTCATTGAAGTTTTTTAGACATATTTTCTAAAAAACAAAACGGCTACTGTTTCTGCACTAACTAGAGTGAAAGTAATTTACTACCCCACAGTTCAAGAGCACAGTTTTGATTAAGAGATCACAAAATTTCAGTTAACAAGCAAAAAACTCCTTCAGATTACAGAAGCATCAAAACACATCTGGTAAAATATTTTTAATCTGAAATTCATGTCTCCCAAAATGTTATATGAGATTCTTTTTGACTAATAATTTGCCACATTTCTTCTGCCCATGGCAAAATGCTAGTATCAAATTACAAATCTCTAAAAATTGTAACAGATAATGGAAAAGTTAGAGACTCTCAACATATATTAGAAGATGATGTTAAGGTGTAAAACCAAGAAGCAGAGTCTTGATGTACCATATTTTATGTCATGTTCTTTTGCAGTTTTTCATTACAAGCCAAGTTTATTCCCACTTGCAGTTTAAATTGTTTCACACAACTGCTGGTCTTTTATACACACTGCTAGTATGGAACAGATGGTGAAACACTGATATTCTTCATTATTAATGGGACAGCTCACTTAAGATGTTTCAAATATTTTCCAGGAGCTTTTGGAAATGCTATGATTTCCATGGTTACCTGCCATGATTTAGGGACAGATAAAACACTTTTAGATTCTGGGCTTGGTGCTGCTGCAATCAACATCAAACTCACTGTTCCTGAGGTTCTAACCCTAACTTAGCATTTAACCAACCTCGTGCTGGTAGCACGGGGGAAAAGGTAACTCAAACAAAACCAATCAACAAAACAGTTGAGGGCTAGATCCAACTCAATTAAGATAAAAGGAAATATGAAATAAAAGGAAATATGGCTTTAGGACTTTAATCAGCCTCTGATACCACACAATGCATCCCACCCTAAATTAAGCTGACAGTAGTGCTATTCAAAGTTGAACCTGCAAATGCAGAAATAAACTCAGGTTATTCTAATGCAGCCAAATCTTTTCTGCTGTCTTGGCCAATCAGTCTTAGCAAAATTACCATATCAGTTTTTATCTATTTACGAGGCACCAAATGCTAACCTCAAAATGAAGCTGGCAATCAGAAGCTGAGATGGGAGCTAATTAAATATTCAATTGCTGAGTCATTCTCTCTAGTTTGTAATTAAAAGTTATACAGCAAATATTCACTTTAGAGACTGACACCTTTGCACAGGTCACAGCAAAATATAACTTCAGTACATCTGTCCTTAAGTAACTATTACATCCTAAAACTTCTAGGAAGGTACAGTTTCC